CACACACACACACACACACACACACACACACACACACACACAAAGACACGAGCAGAAAGAATTATTCCACTTTGGCGTCGGAAATGAAAAAATTTATCAAGATTTGTAAAAATAGTTCAGTGCATTTGTTTATTTGTTGTCTATGTTAATTCTTTCTTTCCAGAATATGAAGTGTTCTGCTTGGAAATGACTTGTGACAGATGTAGAACTGTCGCTCATTTTGTTTCCCTCTGCATGAAAAACAAATCCACAGAGAACAGACAAACAGATGCAAATCTGACTAGACTGTTGAGTTTGAAACTGCATTTCTTTGACAGCAGTCGGGTGTAAATGACATTTTCTCCATGTGGCCGTGCCTTACTTTAACATGTGCACGCCCTCCGGGGTGGTGGGCTGGTTGAAGCGTCTCATGTAGTCGTGCATCTCTGGGAAACTCTTCTTCATGTAATCCTCGGCGCTGCTCTCCCTCACCGTCCCAAAGCGGAAGCCCATGGATGGGTGGTGCAGCTGGAGGAGGGAGGGACACAAACGGAGAAATAACACAGCTCATTCTAAATTCACTGCAACCATCAACTCCCAAAACAAACGTTGGTATCTAAACAGTGGATATCCCTCAGAAATCACACGTTAGCTTGTCCTTTGTGTGTGTGTGGTATGTTGATGTGAGAGCAACAAATCGGAGTCTCTGCATTTAGTCGAACCTTTTCGTCATGAATTCCCGAGACCATTTCGAAGGTCTTCTCTCCGACCATGACTGCAGCGAGGTTGGCGGTGTAGCTGGACAAAACCAGTAAGCAGAAAATCGCCCAGAGGTTCATCAGGAAGCGCCCCGTCCAGCATTTAGGAGTCTACAGAGAGGAGATACACACCAAAAAACAAACAAATCTTTAATGATAAAAAGCTGCATTAAATGAAAAAAAAAAAAAACAACCTTTATAAACAGCTGGTTATAGATCAAATTAGAAAAACTGGAATTTCTGTGCAGGTATACAGATGGATTTATGCAGAGTTTTTCAAAAACACTGCCCCCCCCCCCCCCCCCCAAAAAAAAAAAAAAAAATTCTGAAGGCCTGTAAGGAAAAGCTAAGACCTCTACCTCCTCCTCCTCTCTCTGCTGCAGACACCCTGCTCCGCTGCAGGATATTTTTTGTGAAATTTACAGATCCTTGAAGGTCAGTGTACAGGTAAATGTTCAAAGAGGTTGACAAGCATGCACAATGCCCGATAGTACTAGGTGAAACACTGCACCGTGGAGAAAAACAACTTTTAAATTTGTTTATTTGGTTGCATTAAATCAGAAATTTCAAATTCACAATTTACTTATCAGTGCTGACAATTCTACACATTATTTCAGTCACTAAATTTACTTTCTTTCCTTTAAAAATCCCCACTTAATACTGCAGCAAAACAACAATCATGTCTTGGATTAATATTCATCAGATTTATAACATATTTTCCTCTGAACTTTAACCAATTTTAGGAAACATTTTGACTTCGACTGGGCAGAAAGGAATTGGAGTCTAGCCAATCCCATCATCCAAACCAGGTTATAAGCAATAAAGGGTAGCCATTGCCAACAGTTGTCCACCTCACTGGTTGTGACAAAACACACAGTCTGTTCATGTTTGCATAGGAAATCCAAAAAAATCCTTCAAGCATTATGGTTGTACTTTTAAATCTTCTGTGCTAAAAGTTCAAAATTCACTTGTTTTAATGTTTAATGCTGTTTTTTCTTTTTATGAACTTAATGAGCAAACTGGTATTGAAGTGAAATCATTAGGATAAACTTTTTTCCCTGAAGATTTTCCATTTGTTTCTTCTTGTGGAAACATTTAGTTTCAGTCAGTTTGTGTAAAAGATGTGGTTCTACTGGTTGAACTAAAGCCAGCTCCTGGGCTGACTGAGATCTAAGGAAGGGAGGGGGAGCATCTCTCCTGATAGTCATCTTTTTTCTAATAATGGCCCTAAAGCAAAATAAACAATAAAAGTATAATAATACAAAAAAAGGTACAAGTATGAGCCACAATGCACTAATTACCAGTTAGGTTTAGGTTTTTACAGCTCTGTCATTGAGGACACACAATGTTTCATTTTATCCACAAGGAACGTGCACCAGCTCCAAACACTCTGCTGGTCTGAAACAACTGTTTTTGGACACGAATGCCAAAAACAACCTGAAAATCATTTTCCTGTGAGCAGCTGGGATTTCCAGGAGGTCCACATTGAGCTGTGTTCAGAGGTTCTGCTCTCTATGCGAGTTTCAACCTGTGGATGTGCCAAGGACAACCTTCAGGGCTGAAGAACTTGGACCCAGGACCACAGAATGGATTAAATACTGGGATAAATCTTTCGCCAGCATGGTCAGACTTTTGGTGTATTTAGTTATGAGTGTGTCCTTAAATTCCATAAAATAATTGTTTATTCATAACTCAGATTATGGTCTGTAAAAATGTAATCAGCATGTCTTTTAATTTGAAGATACTGTTGTCCAATTTTGTCTGACTTAAAGATCTTTAGCTGAGAAGAGTCAAAGCTAAACCTTTAGCTGAGCTTAATTCATCCTATTACCATTTCTATCTACGTTTCCTGATTTTAATTTAATTTACCAAATTGAGTAAAATAATTGTAGATTTTAAAAATGAAATCCAACACTGTGCTTGTGGTGCACATTGGAAATATCCACACATTAAAACGTATGCTCAAGGAAACAAATTCACCTTAAAACTGTAATCAGTTGTGGTTTCAACCAATTAAATATTAAAATGAAAAACATTTAATGCTTTAAAGACTTAAGGATAATGAGACACTCATTCTAAAATGTTTCGCAAGTGTGTTGAGAACTTAGGAAAAGTTGAAAGAGAGGATGGAGCATTAACTTCCTGGGGGAGAAATGTCACCCAGAGGAAATTTTAAATGCTCATTTTTGCTACTAATGAAGGTTTAACAATCTGGATTTAGGATTTCTAGCTATGAATGCAGAGGTTATGTGTTATGATTGAACTCAATCACTACAAACAACCCAAATAATGAGCCGACAACTGCTTTCGTTCTCCCAAATATCAGCCTCCGTTCAGCTGATGAATTGAAAAAGAAAATCTAAACCCCGTTCAGCAAAAACCTCATCAAGCGGGAATCAAAATAGACACCTAATTCACTTGAACACCATCACTCGCTGACAGCTTAGCCTACATGCTTGTTTGTGTTCACAAATAGTACGTGTTTGCTTTTCACAAAGAGGGAAAAAAAGAGCTTTTTTGGATTAGATGATTTGTTGGCACAACACAAAGCGATCAGTTATTTTAGGGGCAGCGTGGCTGAGAGTCTGCAGTGAAAACAGAACAGGGCTGCTCATGTGAAACTAAACTCTGATAGCACTCACAGCTGGTTTTCACCCAGCAGGGAACTTAAAATTATACAGCAGGTGTGCTGTTTGCAAATGAACGTGTGATCCGTGGTAGTTCCAAAAAGTAAAACATAACTAATGCACCAAAAAATAAAAATAAATAAAACTACAACGACATTCACAAAATTATAGAGGTGACAGAGAAAACACAACAAAAATGAAAAAAAAAAACACTTTAGGAAAAAAGCAACTACTTTACAACAATTAAAAAAAAACTTGAATAACTCGGTACTTACAAATAATAAACATAAATGACATTAAAAAAATCTTTAAAAGTTTTACAGTTGAGTAAACAATAAAAGAAAAATGTTTATTGTCTGTTTAAAAACACTAAATAATTTCGAAAATGTTTTAGAAACAGGAATGAAATAAAAAAAAAACACGAGAAAACATAAGAAGCAGACAGATCCAACAATCTGCGATGGTTTTTCCATAAAAGAAGAATGCAGGGATGACATAAACGTTAAAAAAAAACAATGACAATGAAAAATACTTCGAAGCTAGTGTTTTGTGAAAACTTGTCATTTCTGTCTAACTGTTTTCCTTTTCTTAATGTTTTATAAGATTTGTGTTTTCTCTCTGTTTTTCCTAGTAACTCTAAAGTATCTATGTCACATTTAGCTGTTTTTTAAAATGCTTTTTTATGTTTAAAAATACTTATCTTCTCATCACTTCCTCTTCTAAACGCCTTGAAATTGGCCTCTGTCTCTTTAAGAACCACCTTCCACTTCTGCCCCGTC